TTGTTGTTGTGGCTATTGGTGTGTGGTTCGGAAATAATGCCTACACCGCCATTGGTTTTACGTGCGAATGAAAATTGGGAGGTAATGTTCACTTCCTAGATGCAATTCTCACAAGATGTCAGGGAAGCGTGATAAAACGCTCTGTTTATCGTAAACCAACTTGGACTGGACAATGCTCAAATTTTCCCAGTTTTGTGCTTCTGAGGCTCAAGCGAAACCTAGTCCAAACCCTTGCGTATCGAGCAAGGAGAATTTGCTCAGCAGACTGTTTGTGTCAGGAACTGGAAAGTATAAAGCAAACATTGTTTGACAACGGCTACCCGGAACGATTCGTTCTGAAGAATTCGACAGAGTGGCCGCCGAGGACACCACTGATAGCAGTGAAAAGAAAAGAACTCTTCATTAAAGTGTCTTTTAAAGGAGATTACTAATCTGAGCTACTGGGACGCCGATTAGAAAACGCTATCGCTCGCACTTTCCCTGCTGCAACCCTACGCACTCAATTCACAAGCCGGCAACTGGTTTCCATAAATCTTAAAGATACGTTACATTGCCTATCCGCTCCTCATCTATGATCATTTACCATTGTCTTTGCTCATGTTCGACAAGTTATGTAGGGAGAACTATCAGGCAAATGTCTCAAATAATCAAGGAGCACAAACCGACGTGGCTGAATACGGGCATGAGGAAAGCGATTGCAAGTGCAGTGGTAGAACACCTTGCAGACACGGGGCATCAAGCAAACGACGACGCTTTCAAGGTGATCTACAAAGTTCCAGAAAACCCATCAAAGCTGTTCGTCAACGACACCTTGATACAGCCGAGGCGGTGGCTGTTCGCTTACTCACTCCGTCCCTTTGTTCTTAAGAAAAAAACGATTCGCCCAGTCACTTCGTTTACCCTGGCCTCAACCTGACACAGCTGACCGAAACCACCTTGACCTTTATCATGACCTAGAGGCGCAGACCGGAAATGGAACAGCTCACTAACCACCAGCTGTGAACATTTCCGAACCACACACCAATAACAACAACAACACTGCCCTCACATTTCCAAACCACATATAACAAGATCACAATCAACCAATCATATTCAGCACATCTGACCATTACATTAATTTGATAATTTTGGACCCTATATATAACTGTATTATCCCGGTGAGGAAGTTCTCGAAAACAAGTTTTGTTCGCTATGGTGTTTTCCTAATTTCACGATGAGAATATTCAATAAAACAATTCATCGAAGACAAAGATACTTATCAACCGGTAATCGGGAACCCTTTAAAGCGGCTGAGGAATCAACTGACTAAATCCTTTTCCACTCTCAAGAAAAACAAGAAACTAACGGATGAAGAATATGGACGAATCAAACCCACAGTAGGTCCGACACTTCGGTTCTATGGACTACCGAAATTGCACAAACCCGATGTACCACTACGACCCTTGTCGCATCCACAACAGCACCCAACTACAATTCGCAAGGTACCTCTTCCAACTACTACGCCCATCATTACCTGCAAACCAAAATGATGCAAAATGTCCCACGGTCATCCTGGAACGCATCAAGGGACTAACCATTGAACCAGATGAAGTAATGGTCTCTTTCGATGTGACCTCACTGTTCACCAACAAACCAAAGCAAATGGCCATCGAAAGTATCCGACACCTGTTGTCAAACGATCAAAATTTGCAATTAAGAACGAAACTTTCTGTGGACGAAATAGTTAAATTCGTAGAACTCTGTATGGAAACCTATTTCCAATTCCGCGGGAAGGTGTACCAGCAGATACAGGGAACTCCAATGGGTTCGCCACTCTCAGGGCTGCTTGCAGATGCGGTTATGAAACACTTCGAAGTCAAAGCCTTTGAAATTCTACAACCTCGTCTGTGGATACGTTATGTGGACGATACATTCGTTATACTCAGAGCCTTCACAGTAGATTAGTTCTACCAAAGGATCAACGAGCAGGTGCCCGGTATCAACCTCACACGAGAGGAAGAAAAAGATGAACAACTCTCCTTCCTCGTCATCCTTCTCAGGAGGCAACCCGACGGAAGAATCCAAACCACGTTCTACCGAAAACCGACCACGACGGACCCCATCCTCAACTACAACAGCAATCACCCTTTGTGCCACCGAAAAAGTTGTGTGCCAACTCTATTCCGCCGAGCAAACGCACACTGTAGCACATCTGAGTTAAGAACAAGAGAAAGAAGTCGACCCTTTCAACTGTTCCTATCAAATGCATATCCCAGGAGTTTTATCAAAGCGTGCCTCAGAGGTAAGAACCAAACAACACATACAAAAGAAGGAACTTGGATAACGCTACCTTACATACGCCGCAAGTCAGAAGCTACCGAACGAATATTCCAACCGTTGGGAATCAAGATCACCCATAAACTGGCAGCAACCGTGCGATCATCCCTTTTCAACGGCAAGGATCGAGTCGAACAGCGCGAACG